AAGAAGTACATCAGCTGTATGCTAGTTTTCGCATTTAAAAAATATTATCATAACTCCCTTTGTTAACTTTGTTGCCGTATGAATCTCTTCTCTTTTGAATAATGTTGATCTTTTTTATACGTCACGAATTTTACATTATTCAATTAAATGTTGGTCTTCTTCGCTCCTGATTCGTATATATCATCTGTTATATATCATTCTAAAAATTTCATCGAAGCATTTTAAAATTAAACAATTTTTAACATGGATTGTTGGCATGCTTGTGAATAAAGATTTCCTTGACTCTATGTGAATGTGTTTTTATGATGTTGCTTGGATTCTTATTGCATTGGGTATTCCTCTTAAAGGGCTGGCCCACCCTGTTGAAATAGGAACTTAAGAGTACCATTTGCACGCTGGATTTGGCTGTCCAAACTCCTACCTTTAAAACCCCAGTGATTGGAACGCTGCAGCTGGTGAGAAGTCTGAAGTCCTTGGCAACGGGTACTGTTTGGGTGTTATTTTGGAAACGACTTGACACCCAATGCCACCGCAGCGCGGCTGATACGGCGGCAAGCCACGCGAAGTAACCCAACACCGTCGTCTCTGTTGAAGGACGCATAAGAATGTCGCCCAAATGAGTGGAAACCAGAGCCCAGTGGCCAACGGGCGCTTTGAATGGTTAGACGTATTTCAAAAATATTCTACTTGCATAATTGTGTGAAGCACGCACTGCCGTTACGAACCACTTCAAAGCGGAAAGACTATAACTGTCAAAACCAGTAAACTCGTCTTAGCGAATTGTATTCAACTTGATTGAAGTGTATGTATTTGTTGGTGGCAGTCCCATTGTAATACGGGCATACAATTATTATTATTCTATCGAAAGCAATAGAAATTTCCACGTTCGTCGCAGACTTGAAGAAGTCTAGGCGGAGAGCCAGACTCCAAGAACGCTGCTTTCTTGGGCTACTTTTGGCTGGCGACATCTCCGTGCCCTGCGATTCATTCATTCGTCAGCTCAGCAGCATTTCTGCACGTGCATATACGGATGTTTACTTTTTGCTTTGGATATGTCTTTTGTGGAGAGATTTCAAATGATTTCACCAATCAGCACGGACGGGACTGTTTTCTACGAAAGAAGTGGTGCGGTTTAGGCGTGATTAACGCTGGCAACACAACG